GGGAACACTGATGAGAAGGCCAAGAGAGAGAGAAAGCCTTCCCCTGGAGCTGACACCCTGAATTTGGACTTTTAGCCTAATTTACTGTAAGGAAATAAACTTCTCTTTGTTAAAACCATCCACTTGTGGTATTTCTGTTGTAGCAGCAGTAGATGACTGAGACAGGAGCCTAGCACTTAACTGTTTGTGCCACCCAGGGACTCTTAGTATGTGCATGTTGTTATTGGGTGCCATTCAGTCGATTCGACTCATGGTGATGCCATGTGACAGTGGAGAAATGCCCCATAAGAGTTTTCTAGGCTGTGATCTTTATGGAAGCAGATCGCCAGGTCTTTCACCCATGGAGCAGCTGGGTGGGTTTGAACCACCAACCTTTCGGTTAGCAGCTGAGTACTTGACCATTGTGCTACCAGGCCTCCTTAGTATGTGCATAGCAGGGATCAAGATGGCCAAGGATCCCATGCTCATGAAACTTACACTGTTAAGTGCAGAGGGGGAGGACAGGTAATCACCAAACATACATGATGTCAGGGAGTTCCTAAGTACTATGAAGAAAACTAAAGCAGGGTAAGAGAATAAAGACCCATGAGTGTGCCATTCATTGTTTTGGTGTAGTGAGGTGTTTGTCTAAAGACTCACCTTTTAAGCACCCAAGCTTCTAGTAGTATAAAAAGTGGCCTTGTCATTGTTCAAAAGGATTAGTGCTATATTATGCTGTGACTTACTTTTAAATTACAGGGATACAAGAGTGAATTGTTTCAAAGCTGGAGAAGAAACACACAAGATTCCACACTACAAAGGCCATACTAGGCAAAGCGCCACATTCAGCCACTAGAGGGCGAAGGCACACAGAAAATACAGGCATGGAGCCTCTAACCCAATCAAGGCTCATCAGACCTCAGGTGGGTGGTTTTGAAAGGTTTCTAGGACTCGATTTCTATACCTTTATGGAGCCCTGGTGGCACAGTAGTTAAAAGCTCAGGCTGCTAACCAAAAAGTCGGCAGTTGAGATCCACCAGCTGCTCCTTGGTAACCTTATGGGGCAGTTCTACTCTGACGAATAAGGTCACGATGAGTTGGAATCACTTGACAGCAATGGGTTTTTTAGTTTATGGAACGTTGGTGGTGCAGTGGTTAAGCGTTCGGCTATGAACCAAAAGTTTGATTGTTCAAATCCACCAGCCTCTCCTTGGAAACACTATGGGGGCAGTTCTACCCTGTTCCATAGGGTCACTATGAGTCAGAATCCAATCAGGGGCACCTAACAACATTCCTCTCATAGGAGTCCCTGGGTGGTGCAAACTGTTAACACAACTGAGGCTAACCAAAAGATTGGAGATTTAAGTCCATGCAAAGGCACCTAAAGAAGGGCCTGGCGATCTACTTCCAAAAAATCAGCCATTGAAAACTCTATGGAGCACAGTTAGTTCTACTCTGACATACAAGGGGACACCATGAGTTGGAGTCAGCTGGATGGCAACTGTTTTATTTTGAATTCCTGTCATAAGAAGGGTTCTGAACCTTTGGCAAAACTGACCAGTTATCACATGGGCTAGAAGAATTCTTGCCAGTCAGTTCTCAGCCAGCTTTTGAGGCTGCTGTCTCAAGCTAATCACAGGGACGAAAAGGGGCTCGCTGAGGTGCTGATTACTTAATAGGTAGGGAGCTCTCTGCTGAGCTTTACCAACATCTGCTCATTTAATCCTCATGGAAACCCCGAGAAGCAGAAGTGGCTCCATGTAACTGAGGGCGGACAAGGCTCATGCTAAGCCCAAGGTCACAGAGCTGTAAGTGTGGGGAGCCAAGACTCTAACACAAGTGTGACCCCAAAGTCTGTGCTGTCTTAGGGTTCCCATAAGTCACCTATGATTTCTATTAAAAGATCAGTTTGATTTTTCCAGGAAATGGCCCAAGTGACACAGTGGTTAAAGTGCTCAGCTGCTAACTGAACGGTTGGTGGTTTGAACCCACCAGCCATTCTTGGAGACAAAGATGTGGCTGTCTGTTCCCATAAAGATGACAGCCCTGGAAACCTTGGGGTGGTTCTACTGTCTCCTACAGGGTCACTGAGCCAGAATCAACTTGAATGCAACGGGGTAGCGCCTCTTTGAAAGGCTGGGCTGGCTCTTCTCTATCAAGGCGTTTCCACGTGCAAGCTTTTTTTTTCCCACCTATTTCTCTCTCCACCACAAACTGTAAGGAGGCAGGAAACACTGTGACTGAATTGGGCAGGGAACAGACTGGTGTCTGTATCACTTACTGGGCAAGTTAGTTAAGTTTGCTTTATTTCTCTTCACGCTTTCTTTAAAAAATTCACACAAATAAAAAACACCTGGATAAAAAGTATTAGTTACCTGATAACCTTTATTCAGGAAGTGAAAGTTAACTATGAAACAGTGCTTCATAAGCCATGTTACACAAGGCTATTGTTTCCAAAGTGGGTGAGGGTGTGCCCCAGCCCCCACACCCCAACTGAGGCATCCTTCTTACTAAGGTGCCATCCTGGGTTGACCACAAAACTTGTGGTGATGTCTTAACCACTGTCATTTTTACTTGGGCAGAATGACTAAAAAAGGCATTGGTACTTCATACATCAGGCAACAACTAAGGGCTCAGATCCTTGCTTTGTGCATTGTGCTCTCCAATTGGACAGCCCCAGCTTGGGCGTGATTTACATGCACAGAAACAGGTTAAGACCCCCACCCCACCCCACCTCCAGGCTGGGCAGCAAGTAGCTGGCTCCACTTACTGAGACTCAGAATCTTCCAAGGAGGATGAAAGCAGATGACAGAAACTAAACCAAGACTAGGATGCTGGAAAGGGAGCTACTCTGACGTAGGAAAAAAAAAAACAAACAAAAAACCACGAGGCAAAGGGGGAAAAGGGAAATAAAGACAGGTTAAACTGTGCAGTTACGGCGCCAATCTAGAAAGACACTGAGACACACTAGATAAAAACAAAACCCATCCAACTCCCTTCCTCCTAAAGATATTTTAATGCAGAAAGCAAAAATACTATATCCTTCTTGTAGTAAGCACTGTTAGTACAGGCAGTTCCCTGGGTTATGAACAACTTCCGTTCCTAAGTCTGTCTTTAAGTTGAATTTGTACGTAAGTCGTAACAGTTAGGTATGGTTCGTATCTAATGTCAGTCAAATGTTTGTCTCAGTATACAGGCAGTCCCTGGGTTAGAAATGTAGCAGGCTCTAAGGAGGTTGGTTTGTAAGTATGGTTGTACATTAGTCAGACACTCGTAACCCAGGGACTGCCTGTATTCAACACTTTAACATTATGGTGCATCACAAAAAAACAAAGTCATGTACTTCTGGACAAATCAAAAAAAAAAAGAAAGTAGCAAATCAATATAATGGCAACATGAGGAGGTAAAAAATCTAGTATTTCCATAAAACACAAAAGGTTTTACAGATTAAGTGGACTTTCAACGTCTGCACCTCTATGGAGCTTTTGTTGCCAACTGAAAAAAAAAAAGTCATCCTAACACAGGCTGTTCCAAAAGCCTAATTCATAAACAAAGACAATTTATTCTACGTTTAATAAAATGTTTATTTAGGATGGTAACAAAAATCATGCAAGAGCTCAGTAAAAAAATGAAAACAAAAAACAAAACAAAGTAAGAATAAGGAATGGTAATTGGTGCTGCCGGTTGGGGGAAAAAAAATTGTCTATCATTTTACTCCCCGGAAGTGATAGGAAGAGCCATTTGAATCTGAGCATGCATGGTTGTAGTATTCTCTTAGAAAATTATGTGATAAGTACTTGAGTTCCTTTCCTCAGGGGAGAGCCCTATATCCAAAATAACCATCGATGGCCCTCCCTCCCACACTCAGATGGCAAGCAGCCCAGAACCCCTGCCCACAGAGTTCCTTCAGCACCCTTGGGACAGTCTTGAAGGGATACTTCTCAGCAGGGGAGAGGGGCAGGCAACTTTGGTGACCCTTAAATGAGACTCCATCTACATTCAGAATCTTAAAATTTTGGTAATGAAAAAAACGTAAGGCTTGCAAGTCATCCTTAGCAGCCTTAACTGTAGTGTTGTGACGTCTAAGAAAGGCTCTCCATGTCAGGTGGTGATCAATGTGAACACATACACCAAACTGAACATAGTGTCTCAGATTTCAAACAAACATAACTCATCTTTTGGCAAAAAATAAATATAGTGGAATGCAAGTTTGATAGATGGAAGAATATATAATCTACCAACTGTCGAGTACAATTTCATTACAGACACAAAGAATCAACAATTTGAAAGAATTTTTTAAAATTAAAAAAAAAGGTTTGCACTTATTCCTCACAAAATCTTCACTTTTGGAACTACCCCAATTGAAGCTACATACTGAATGTATTAATACAGCATTAAGTTTCTTTGTGTAAAAAAATCTTTGTACATAGTAATAAAAAAAGATAAGGCAAGATGCATTAAACAGAAACTTTCTGGTTCTTTTCCTCTACGTTCTTACAGAGCCACTGACGACTATCTGCAATAAAGAGTTAAGTTTCTGATTTTCCGTATCAAGCATCTTACACCTTTGCTGTGGTAAGAATTCTGTCCGAGCACCCTGAAGGACAGATGCTGGCGATGATCTTTGGCACTTACGCTGGCAAACTTAGCTTCTTTCCCTTGAGCACTAGAATTTTAAAGAGAGAAAGAGAAAACAAAATGTTACTGATGTTGACAATTTCACAGTTATAAAATTACTTCCTTCTTCCCATTCTCACACAAGACTCCATAATAAAGTACAAGGAAAATAAGCTTCTGGCAAGCAGCGGTCACTTGACTTTGATGTCAATAAACAAAGCCCTCTGAAATATAAAGATATGAAACAGGATTTGTGAAGTTGTATCTTGGCAGAAGTCAGCACCGGCCAAGGTGGTCCAGGGCTCTGCATCCAGCCACCAACAGCTGTACCTTCATGAGGCTAAAAGCAGTTGGGGGCCCAATGGAGGGGCCCTGGGAAGATGAGGTCCAGAATTCATAAGGCCCACAGACAGAAAATGTCGTGTGCACACATATTGGTATTAATGTGCCTAGATGCCACAGCCGTTGTATTAAAAAAAAAAAAAAATTCATCTGAAAGCATCACTAAATTCATTCATAGCAGCTTTTTGTTCTGATACCATGACTCCTCCCAGCAATCAACATATATTAAAATATAACTGTTTTTATGTAGGAAAGTCTATGAAATTTTTGAACATTAAAAAAGAAAATGTGTACGCCCTTTTACCCAGCAATTCCATAACAGGAATTTTACTATATAGCAGGGATTCTTAACCTGGGATCTATGGTTGGGTTTCAGGGGCTCCTGAATCCCCTAAAAACTATATATAAAAATTTGTGCACACATGCATGAATATGGATTTTTTTCTGGGCAAGGGCCACGGTTTTCATTAGATGTTATAAAATCCATATGTCCTATACTCATATAAATGCAAAAATATGCATATACAAGGATGTTGATTTAAGCACTGGATTGTAATAGCAGCTAATCAGTAACAGCCTGCATACCGATGAACCAATGAAAAAATAAAGCTACAGCAAAAGAAAAAAGAGGCACTTATATTCCAAAAGACTAGAAACCTTGATCTAGAATTTTATTTGACTACCATTAAAATATTTTTCTGAAGCCACTTCTGCTTTATAGACAGTGCCAGACTGAGAATGTATTAGACCAGGAGCTGGGGGAGCAAGCCCCCAAGAGCATGTGATTTTGGGAAGAAGACAAGCAGGCTACAGCCCAGTGTACCTTTTGTAATGTACAAATAGAAGAAGTCGCAGTATAGAATGGTCTGGACTACGCCGGCCACCACAGCAATGAGGTCAAAGAAGCCCTCAAAGTAGAAGCGCCAGATCCAGTTGACAAGATACAAAGCGCGGTAGAGGCCCAGGAAGAACAGGTAGTGGGTAGTGATGGTCTCCGCCTCCCCGGTCTTGCTGATCATAAAGAGCTGTGGGAGGATCGCCACGGATTCCAGATAGATGGAGAAGGTCCACAAAATCTGTAAGGCAGAGAGCAAGCTCTGGTCAGACGCCAGTGCCCACCATGGGTTCACAGCAAAGTCTCTCGCTTTACCAGCCTTGTGGAGCAGCATACAAGCAGCAGGTGCCTGGGGGTCTGGGCAGCTTAGCAATTTAATAAATCACAAAAACGTAAGCAACATTTATGAGAAATGGGCACTGTCAAGAACAGGCTGAGTGACCCAGACATCTCTACCTCTTTGAGTTTTCATTACCTTGTCTCCCCAATGTCTCATTCTTCTCTGTATAATTTTCTACGAATCTACATATAGGTTGTTTCTCTTGGATAAGTCTAAACCTGGGATCCGGAGTCAACCCTGCTTCCTGCCAGGCTCAGCAACATTGATAACTAGGTTCCTTCCACTCCCTCACTGCTGTTGTCCCTCACAAGCAGGCTACGTCTTTCCCTTCCAGACTACCTAAATATTTTCGTTATTTTTCTTACTCTTTAATATTTTTGGTGTGGTTAAATCAAAGGGTTAAGAAGTTTGGAGTTGTAACTATGCGGACTCTCTGTCCAACATGGTATTTTATTTTATTCATGCTGGCAACAGAAGGACTTGCAAGTAGTCCTTGAAGAATTTGTTAAAAGCCAAGGCACTCCTAGCACCTATCAGACAACCAGGAGCAACGTGGTAACGTAATAAACCCCAGGTTCGCAGAGAGCTCACCATGAGGGGAGGAAAGGTGCACAGCAGCAGCCGCTGCACGGCTCAGTGCTGGCGCACCATGCAAACCACCTTCCCGAAGGTGAAGAGTATGACAAGGCTGCTTAGGAGAGTCTGAGAGACACTATTAATGTGAGATATCCACACACGAAGAGGAGACAGAAGTAGGGTCAGAGCAGCAAAAAGACCAAGTTCTTCAAACACTCGGACAGGCAGGGCACTGTGGCACCAGAGAAGTCAAGACAATGAAAGACAGTTTCAAGTTCATATTCTGAAGGAGTCAGGCAATAACCTGTCAGCAGGCACCCAAGAACCTGACTGGGTGCTTAGCTCTTGTCTGTGGTTTTTTATACCCAATAGTGTATGCTGCACCAGAAGCTTGCCAAACAAAAGAAAGCAAAACAAAAACATACATTATCTGCAAACAGGTCTACTTCCCTAGGGCACCAGACATGGCCACTAAATACCTCTTCACTAACCTCGAGAGGAGAGAAATCATGATTGACTAGAAATGAGAGGCCTCCCACAGGGACCACCAGAAACTCCACTCGGAAGGTATCATGATTTCCATCATAGGTCGCCTTAAATTTCATGTAGATCAGGTACACGGTGGCATAGGAGCAAGCAATGTAGATAAGCTAGAAACAAAGGAAAAACACCAGGTCATCAATACCTTGCAGTTGCTCCAATTCCCCCAGCTTTCCTAAATCACCCATGTATTCAGAAAGGAGAGATGCTTTCCTTTTCCTGCCTTAGCTTTACTTATTTACTTTTGTATTTTTAAATTTCAATATAATAAAATTCACTTTTGGGGCATACAGTGCTGAGTCATATAACCACCACCACGATCAAGACACAGAGAACAGTTCCATCACCCCAAAGAGTCCCTCACGCTGCCTGTTTGTAGTCAAACCTTCCCCCTGGCAATCACTGATCTGTTCTCCATCCCTACAGTTCTGCCTTCTCCAAAATGCCATAACAATGGAATCATGCAATACGTAGCCTTATGAGTCTGGCTTCTTTCACTCAGCAGAATGCATTTGATATTCAGCCATGTTGTTGCATGTATTAAAAATGTTTCTTTTTATTGCTGAGTAGCAGTCCACTGTGTAGCTATATCACAGTTTGTTTATTCATTCAACAGTTAAAGGACATTTGGGTTTCTTGTTTTGGGGGATGATGGATAAAGCTGCTATGAACATTTGCGTACAGGTTTTTGGATGAACGTAAGTTTTCATTTCTCTTGAGTCAATACCTAGGAGTGAGATTGGGTCAGATGTTAAATGTAAGTTTAACTTTATAAGAAACTGCCAAAGAAATGTAATTTTAATCTCATCTTAAACTGTTATACAGCAGCGTAAGAAAAAAATGAATGCAAAATTCAATGCAGTTCAAAACCAATGCACTTCCTTCCCACATGAAAATATTTCTTAACTAGTGCTTTTCTAAATAAGGTGAACAATTCATATTAAACTTTGCAATGATGGTTTTTATTTAAATTGTGTTACTTTAACACAAACATTCAGGTTGCTGCCTACAAGAAGAGTGATTTTGTGCACAGATCGGTCCAGCTGCTCACGGGCTTACAATTAATTACGTGTTCTTTCACACCATGTACTCATCTGACCCCAAGGATAGATCTGATATTCTGAAATTACACCACTTTTAAGATTGCAGAATTTTAGGTCGGAGCACGAAATGGCAGGCTGAGCCCCTGAGAAAAGAGAATTAGGGGTGTGCTGCCTACTGCGATCCTCATGCAACAGCTGCACTGCCTGGTGCTACTTCTCCTTAAGAAAGACAACTTGCAAAACTTTATAGGAAAACGTTTGAGCAAACAACTTAACAGGAAAATGAGAACAATCAACAAAGCCCTCATATGCTCCAAAAAAAAAAAAACAGAGAGACATTACACTGTCCATGAGACTTCATCTGACTGCTACCTATGAAGTGGTATTCATAAATGAATAGTCAACATGGTATTAAAATTGTTGGATCATACTGGAGAACTACAAACTAACAAGCTAAACAAAAACCTAAGGAACATTAATATTTTATTCTGTTAGAGGAATTCTCTCCACAGATTTATAAATGGTTACCCCCCCACACCCTCAAGTACATGTACACATGTATATGAATAAAATAACATACAATCTACACGTATAAGCAAAATGAACGTACATCTATATACACCCTAAGCCCTCCTCCAGCAGAACACCCAGCCAAGGCACACTACAGCCAGAGGTCACTCATAAGCACCCAGCTGTGGTCAGCTGAGATTACGTCCATTAAGACTTTAGCAGCCGCTGAGGAAAAGCACTTGCTCTTCTCCTCTCACCAGTGCTTGGCATTTGAAGTCAAAAGGCACGAGCACAGAAAACTCAGCTCCCACTGCTGATTTTCTGAGACATTCTCCTTGGAAACTATAACAAGCAAGCAAAAAGGATTCCTCTGAAGACTAGGTATCCTGAGGTGGTGGGCAGATGAGTGCTCACACAGCTGTAATAGCTGCAGTTTAACCTGACTAAGCAACAAGCAGGGGCCTAACCATTTCTCGATTACTAGGCTCCCATCACTGACTTAGTAATGAAAAATGGAACAATTACAGGTAACTCAAACTTGCTTTTTAGGAATGACCATGGCCTCCAACATGGGTTTTATGTACTTTGACCTGTGCTTATAAAAATGCTTTTGAACAGAAAGTGTTGGAGGAGTTGTTTTAAATACCCCACCAATAGGCTTCAGCTTAAATACTACTTTCTTAGGTGTGCCAAAAGGCTAAGTACCTAGAGTAGTGCCGGGCACACAGCTGTTCCATAAACATTTGTAGAATGCATGAATTAAAGAAATCAGATTCTGATGACACATCTTGAGAGCCCCTTATACTTCCATCAGAGCACCTATCACAATTTCATGAATTCCTCTAGCAGTGTGAGGATCTATCTACTCTCCTCCTCCAGACCTGGAGCTCTCCTGCTTGCTTTCCGCCAGGCCGTCCGTGCTAGGGAAGTGCCTGGCTCTGTGGGTGCTTAATGACTGTGAGAGGGAACAGAGGCTCCCTGCCCAGTGCTGCCCCAAACATGAAGTGCGCACCACCATGGTGTACAAGATGTCAGGTGGTACACACAGATTTTGTATTTAAATAGTTACACGTTTATTTTAATGTGAATTAGGAGGGACGCCAAAGCTGTCATGGATACTAATGCTTAAGACACATTAAAAGGTTTTTTAAGAAAAACTGGAATAGGTAAATTACAGTATTGATGTGATCTGAGTATGGCGAAAGTAATAAGGATGGCACATACAGCAGAGGTAGGAAAACTTGGTGGAAAAAAAGAAAAAAAAGGAGAAGCCAATACACAGTCCCTCACACAGAGTAAGATACTGCAAGCCAGGGTCCAAGCTTCAATGCCTTCTTATATACTGACCTGCTGGGTTTCCCTGGGGACCTGTAAGTTCCCATGACCTGAAAATATAAGTTACCCCTCTTTCTTGTAGGGTTATGAAAAGCTTCAATAGATCTATCATCTCAAGGAATTTAGGATGAAAAACATCTCTAAGTTCAAAGTATTTTAACTAGATGCTACTATGAAACAAAAAATATGCTTAGTGATAACTATTCTCAGTTATATGCGCAAGGTGGTCTAAAGGTTTTTAAGTAAAGGATAACATATTTACACATTATTTTTGATGAGTTTTAATTATATACACAGCCAACACCAAACAAAGTTTCCTTAAGTCTGTGAACTACAGATAAAATACACCTTACTGGATGTCATACTATACCTTCATAGATGTATTATATAACGAAATAAATGAAGTAAAAAGATCCAGGTAACGAGTTGTGAAGACCAGTGCAAACAGAAGCTGGCTTTTCCCAGAAATACCTAGAGAAACAAAGAGAAAGCATTAGAAAGGCCTTGAAAGGCCTTCTGATTTCTGTAGATAACTTAGTAGAAGTGCAGACATGGAAAGTGGTAACAGCAGGGTCACAGGCGGATGTCTGGGGGTGACTCTCAGTAAGGAAGAGCGATTGGAGGCTTTCTTTCCCTTAACATTCCTGAACACACTCTCTTTCAGAGGATCAACAACTTGGCTGTCTTGGTATGATGGGTGACTACGGGAAACTGACTTAATCACACCACCTCCAACAGACCAAGATTTATAATGTTCAAATGAACATTTATTTCTCATATGTCACCTGAGGCAGAAATAAATTTATTTCAACAATTTCCGCTGTTAATTAGACAGCATTGTAAGTTGTCTATTACCTTCAGCATCTTCCTTTCAGTTTTAATACCTCCACGGTACAAGTCTTTTGAGGATGGAGTTGGAATCTGATTTAGGAGAGGAGGGACCAAGTGAGGAACACTGGCTCAGGGAAGTCTGACCAGTAACAACCCCTGGAAGTTTAGCATTGACCTCCCACAGTGACTTCTTTGCTGAGGGCAGCATTTACTTGAATATGTTAAGATTTTTAAAAAACTCTGTATCTTAGATTCATCATACAACCAATCTTGTATTAATTAAAGACATTCCTGGATGGTATGGCAATAAGAAAGGAACCCTGGTGGCAAAGTGGTTAAGCACTCGGCTGCTAACCAAAAGGTCAGTGGTTTGAACCCACCAGGGGCTCCACAGTAGAAAAGACTTGATGATCTGCTCCTGTGAAGATTACAGTCTAGGAAACCCTAGGGGGTGGTTCCACTATCACATGGTCGCCATGAGTTGGAATCGACTTGACAGCACACAACAACCATAACATGGCAACAAGAGTGTGGGAACCTGCAACTACAGTCAGTCTTCGAAAACCTTGAAACTGTCTTTTTTAACACCCTGAAACTGTTTCTACCTCCAGCCACCACCCCACCTCCAGAGCACTGGTGTAGTATACTCAGACTCAGCTGGGTAACTTTTTTTTTAAATTGTACTTCAGGTGAAGGTTTACAAAACAAATAGATTCTCATGAAACAGTAGTACACATATTGTTTTAGGACATTGGTTAACAACCCCACAACATGTCAACCCTCTCCCTTCTCGACTTTTTTTTTTTTTTTTTTTTTGTAAAAAAACACATAGCCAAAGATACACCATTTCAAAAATTTCTACATGCACAGTTCAGTGACATCAACTACACTCTTAGAATTGTGCTGTTATTCTCACTTTAGATGAAGGCTTACAGAACAAATAGTTTCTCATTAAACAGTTAGTACACATGTTGCCCTATGACAATGGTTGACAACCTCACAACACATCAACACTATCCTTACTCAACCTTGGGTTCCCTATCACCAGCTTTCCTGTCCCCTTCTGCCTTCTGGCCCTTGTCCCTGGACTGCTGTGCCTCATTAGTCCCATTTGGTTTTATGGGGCTGTCCACTCCCCGGCTGAACGGTGAACCTTGGAAGTGACTTCGCCACTGAGCTAGAAGGGTGTCTGGGGGCCATACTCTCGGGGTTTCTCCAGTCTCCTTTAGGCCAGTAAATCTGGTCTTTTTTTTGTGAATTAGAATTTTTTTCTACATCCTTCTCCAACTCTGTCCAGAACCCTCTGTTGTGATCCCAGTCAGAGCATTCAGTGGTGGTAGCTGGGCACCATGTAGCTGTACTGGACCCAGTCTGGTGGAGGCCTTAGGAGCTGTGGTCCATTAGTCCTTCGGACTAATCTTTTCCTTGTATCCTGTTCTCTTCATTCTCCCTTGCTCCCGAAGGGATGAGACCAGTGGAGTTATCTTAGATGGCTGCTCATAGGCTTTTAAGATCCCAGATGCTACTCACCAAGGTAGAATGTAGAACATTGTCTTTATAAACTGTGTTATGCCAATTGAGCTAGATGTTCCCCAAGACCATGGTCAGCTGGGTAACTTTAAGTCCAGAGTGTGCACACAGCTTCTCAGGCATTTGTATCTGGACAAATATTTATGTGACAAAGGACATGAACTATGAGTTTCAGATGCTGGCGACTGAGTGAATCCATTCAGGAAGCTGAAGGATGACTAAATGTAGAACAGAAAAATAGCTGAGTCTCAGCCACCCTCCTCTACAATGCACACTTCACACCCCTAGGCATCTTTGTATATAATGCACTTAAGCACATATTTAACAGAAATGGCACTGCACTTAAATTATTAGCAATACTCCTGGGGACTGGGAGAAGCATACTGTTTCTCAATGATATTCTATAAACAATTGTTTTTGAGGCTTGCTGAACCTAAAAGCCTGGAGAGAAGAATGTTATTTGCTAAGTATGACTACTACAGCTCCAGCCTAGTCCCAAAAACCCCTAAACAGAAAGTGAAGTTGATGCTATCCTTCCAAATCCATCAATAGTACCTGATTTCAAGGGCCAAAGGAGGAGATAGAGACAGTAAGTCTGCTCCTTTTAGTCTGTTCCCCATAATGGGGAACTTCATTTTTCTATCAAAGATCAGTGTTCCAAAGGAGAAAGAATGAGGCCAATGTTAACATAGTGACAGAGAAAACAAGATTGAGGAAAACAAGGAGCATCCGACATCTGTTGAAGCCTTGACAAAAAGTTTCCAGTTCATTTCCTATATGGTCCTTTCCAATAGTTTAAATTAAAAAAAAAGATACATGTGGTCAAATTTTGTTGTAAAGAGATTATTCTAATGAAATGCCTCATTTTTGGCATTCCTATATTAAAAGTCAGGGACTATCATATCACTTTTACCACTCCCCTTTGAGACCCAACTCACACATCCCTCCTCGGGGAGGAGGTCATCTGTGAAGACACCCTCCCTCAGTGCTGTTTATTCACTCGACTTCATGCCAACGGCTGCCCTGGCCCGTTACAGTCCATCTAAAAACACACTGTGCTGAGCTGGTGGCCTGCCCCCTCTTCCCCACCTGACACCGACCTCTCTAAGGCCAGGGTCATGCCTTATTCCACTTTGTATTCCCTGTGCTGACCACTGGGCCTGACACACAGCAGGGCTCCAAAAATATTTGCTGAATGAATGCACAAACAGCCAAAAGAAAATGGAATTAATTTCAGTTTCAGATCACAGGGTAAATTTGCATTTTATGGTATTTTGGGATAATACTTCTAAAGAATTTCCAAGTGATTCTGTATCTTTATGATCTGGGCTCTGCTCTAGAGGGTGAGAGAGCATGGGGTGGGGGAGGGAAGGATGGCGGCCTGTGGCCTGGAGCATGTCCCGGGTTGTGGCATCCACGTAGGAAGTGCCATGCTGGAAATCAGAAGACCTTCACAGTTCCACACTGCTCTCCCAGACTCGGACTCTGCTGAGCAAGTTGCAGCTTTTCCCTTTAAAGCAGAGATTGTGTCCTGTCTTCACAGGAAGGCAGAAGTCTCAGCTGAGGGCCAAAGGAGGGGACAGGAATCTTCTTCCAGAAAAATAAAAAACCAAACCCAATGAAGTCAAGTCAACTTTGACTCATAGCGACCCTACAGGACTGAGCAGAACTGCTCCATAGGGCTTCCAAGGCTGCCAATCTTTATGGAAGCAGATTGCCCCATCTTTCTCCCGCGGAGCGACTGGTGAGTTCAAACTGCCGATCTTTTGGTTAGCAGCTGAGCGCTTAACCATGGTACCACCAGGGTTCCTCTCCTTCCAGGGGTCAAGGGTAGAGGAAGCATACCTGCTACTAAGCCAGAGGGGTTCCCTGGTCAGTTTGAGACCAAACCATGTTAAAGCTGTCAGGTAACAAGCACTCACAGAATACTCACCATAAATGTTTCTGAAACTACCTTCCCAATACCAAATGCACCAGACATCCATATTAAGGAGCACAACTTGCTAAATGGAAATTGATCATTAAACTTAATAACATCATTCCTGTCTTTTCCCACTGGGCCAAGTTAAGTTTAATAAAAGCCCACAACTGTATACTTCAGAGTACCTCATTTTAAATGGTTAAAAACTGCAATTCTTATATTCCAAGTGGTTTATACAACAGATCCCTCAACCAAACAGCAAAGCTTTCCATGGGTTATTTTTGTCCTGGTAACAGCAGGGAACCATGCCCTCAGATCAGACCCTAGAATAACCGGGATAACTTGCACAGCAGCATTCACCAAGGGTCCCCCCTGGCGACAGTTCTCCCCCAACTTTCTCAAAGGATCTGGATATTCTCCTCAAACTGCTTTCCCTGGAATCTGCAATCCCATAGTTAGGAAATGCCTCACAGCAAGGCTCTTTTTCACACATCACAAAGCAAGACTTAGGGAAAAAGGTTCTGGAATCAAAAGGGTCTTGGTTGAAGCTCAGCAACATAACTCACAGGGTAAGCCTGGGTCATTACATCCTTGGCCTCTCTAAACCTCACTTTATGCATCTGTAAAATGGGCACAAGTTATACCAACTGTGTGATTGTTGGAAAGAGAAAAAGGAAAGTGCTATAGACTGTATCTACCACCCTGTGAATGCTTGATAAATCACAGCTTACCAAAAAACCCCAAAAACCAAACCCGTTGCCACTGAGTCAATTCTGACTCATAGCAATCCTATAGAACAGAGTACAACTGCCCCATACAGTTTCCAAGGAGCACCTGTTGGATCCGAACTGCCAACCTTTTGGTTAGCAGAGTAGCTCTTAACCACTACACCACCAGGTTTTCTGACAGCTTGGTTGCTATGAGGCGGAACTGACTTGACGGCAATGGGTTTACCTCCATTTTAAGTGTCACTGGTCTAGGCTTTTCCTACCCTCCTTTCTATATGTGTTTGTGTGTGTACCCACATAAATGTCTCCCCTTTAAAACGGGCTATACAATCTTTTCTTTTACAATTTGCTTTTTTTAACTTAGAATCTCAGATTTATCTTCCCCTGTTACTACTTACAGCTCTAGCTCATTCTTTGTAATGGTTGTGTAGTATTCCATAGTGTGGGTGTACCAAAATTTGTGCAACCACACCATTAATGGACAGTTGGGTCACTTGCAATATTTGTTATATATAGTGCACAAACATCTTTGTACCCACAGGCAGCATTTTGTACTTATTTAGTTAAAACAAGCACCTTTATACCTATATAAATAGTTTGTTCACATATATGACAATTTTTATAGTTCAGATTCCTTAAAACTGCTGGGATAAAAACATAAACATTCAAAATTTTGATAAATATTGCCAAATCTCCCTAGAATCCTATGCCAATTTACTAACCCACTAAGACTGGATGCGAATGCCCTTTTCCTCACATCCTGGCCTACGTGAGGAGCCCCTGGTGG